CCTGAAAATAGGCTTATTGGAAGTTACCTAGCTAGGACTGTTTTCAGGCGCTGCGTAATATCATTGCGCCTGCTGCACCCGGAATGAGAGTATAGTTCCTAGCCATATCGGTTCTGTATTCTGTCACGATGTAACTACAGAAGAGTCAAGTTTTAAATAGGAAAAATATAGAAACTCTTTGATCATTTTTGAGCGAGATGCTAACGGTCTAATCAGATTCAATGATCTATGCTAAGCTACAGCTAAAAGTGCTACCGCCAGACCCGGAGATCGGCTGAATGGGTTCGAAAACGGTAAAACTCAACTGTTTAACTCTAGGGGAGTTGGAAAATGAGCCTATTTTCAAAAATAGTGGAGTGTTCATTTACGTTTAATTGTTGTCTTAAATGTGTAGATAAAAAAAAAACCTGTAAATAAATAAATAATAAACGTTTAAAAAGTTATAGCCTGCAGTGATACTTTTATTGCACTTTTTGGACCACTTTAATTTTATTACTGATAAGGAAAATTAAAACTGAGTGAAAATCAAGTAAAAATTAAAACAGTTAATCAGAGTTAAATGTTAAATGAATGCAGAAAACAATGTGATTATTATTATTATTATTATTAAGATGTTATAAATAATTGTATAGTGTATAAATAAACGTTTTATAGTGTATTATTTAAATACAGATTTAAATGTACTGATTTTAAGTACATTTTTATACATATATTATATATATATATATATATAAACAAAAATATATACAAAATAATAGTAATAATAAATAAGATGTAATAAATAATAATGAAATAATTTTTACAGTGAACCATTTTATGCAGTATTATACATATGAAGTCAAAAATTGTATTTTTCAAAAACATTTAGAATATTATTATTGCCATTTTAAAATAATAACTATAATTAATAATAATAATAATAATACATTATAAATAATAATGAAAACTTTTTTATAGTGTACCATTTCATGTGGTAATAATAAATTGTTTTACTGAGATCAAGAATATTATTTTTTTATATAATATAATTTATACTTTTTAAATGATTACAGTATCATTAATAATAGTAATGTCCACAGTTTGAATATTCATGTTTCTTGAATAGTAGAGCGTGGCACAATCAATGCCATGGTTTGACTCCCAGGAACAGGCTGACATAATATCCTAATGATTTTTGGCATAAAAGAAAAATCTATAATTTTGACCCATACAATGTATTGTTGGCTATATGGCTATATACCCCAGCGACTTAAGACTGCTTTTGTGCTCCAGGGTCACATACGTTATTTCAGGAATCCACAACAGAACAAACCACAAACAAGTAAACAATCCTCAGTCTTTGTCATGCATTAGAAAAGTGTCAACCCACTAAAACTGAAATCTTAAAGGAACACTCCACTATTTTTGAAAATAGGCTCATTTCCACTTTAATTTTATTACTGATAAGGAAAATTAAAACTGAGTGAAAATCAAGTAAAAATTAAAACAGTTAATCAGAGTTAAATGTTAAATGAATGCAGAAAACAATGTGATTATTATTATTATTATTATTAAGATGTTATAAATAATTGTATAGTGTATAAATAAACGTTTTATAGTGTATTATTTAAATACAGATTTAAATGTACTGATTTTAAGTACATTTTTATACATATATTATATATATATATATATATATAAACAAAAATATATACAAAATAATAGTAATAATAAATAAGATGTAATAAATAATAATGAAATAATTTTTACAGTGAACCATTTTATGCAGTATTATACATATGAAGTCAAAAATTGTATTTTTCAAAAACATTTAGAATATTATTATTGCCATTTTAAAATAATAACTATAATTAATAATAATAATAATAATACATTATAAATAATAATGAAAACTTTTTTATAGTGTACCATTTCATGTGGTAATAATAAATTGTTTTACTGAGATCAAGAATATTATTTTTTTATATAATATAATTTATACTTTTTAAATGATTACAGTATCATTAATAATAGTAATGTCCACAGTTTGAATATTCATGTTTCTTGAATAGTAGAGCGTGGCACAATCAATGCCATGGTTTGACTCCCAGGAACAGGCTGACATCTGTTAGAATGGACAGAGAGTATAATAACAATCATTACACACATGTGAAGTTTATGTGTAGAGTGTATATACTGTATGTGCGCACGTGTGTGTTTGATCATTTACGGTTGTCATCACACACAGCTAATCTGGCAGGAAGTGTGTCCACCCTTTGGACACTCCACTTCCTGTCCAGCGTGAACACTAGGCCTGTTTTTGCATACGTGTTCATTTTTCATGCCGTTTTCCCTCTGTTTGGCACACTCTGTTATTTTCCAATGGAATCGAAGGGATGTGGGATCATTTTTTTCCATGGTTCATTGACGTCACCTGTGTTGTATTATCCAGTGTAAAGGGAGTGAATCTTTGTGATTGTAAGATTGTCAATTCTGATCACCGACTGAATTATTTTCCAAAAACAAACAAAATGAGAAAATCCCTGTAATTCCGTAGTTTAACATCACTGGCTTATGTCTAAAAACATAAAACATCATGCTGAAGTCTCCAATTACTATAAAAGCTGGAATTGTGGTGCAAAACCCCTTGTGAAAAAGAAGTACTCTTTATTATACTTTTAAAAAGAGTTATGGAAATAATATACTTTAAAAGAACATGTTTTCAGAGACTTAATTTCATGTTATTTATAATTAAATAAAAATAATTAATAGATTAAATTAATATTAAATGCAAGTTTAGTACATAAGTACATCTTTATATGTAATTTACTGCTGAATGCACTGACAAGAATTTATGATAAACTAAAATATAAACTAAAATATACTTCAATGTCATTTCTATTGAAACTTGAATGTAATGTATTGAAATATATTTGTAATTACACATTTGGAATGATGTATTTGATGTAATGATAATTTGTAATTTAGTATATTTAAATACATTAACTTTAATCTAATGTGATTATAATGTTAAAATTATAATCAATTATTTTACATGTGTTTTATTATGTTAGTCAATACATCAAACAAAGTGTACTTCTTCAAAGCACAACAAATCATTATTAAAACTCTGCTTTAGTGTGTTAAGAAGCAATCATAAAAATGTCTCTATTTAAGTCACTTAAGTGGCCTTTTATTACATTAATATTATATTATCTGCAAGTACAGTTTTTTTTTAAATATACTTTTAAGATTTGAAGTACACTACAAGTGCTTATTTAATACAATTAAGTGCACTTCTTTTTCTATTTACCTAAAAGGTGTCCTATACACTGTAAAAAAAAAAAATTTGGAGTATGCATGTTTTACAACAAAATACAATTTCAGTAGTCTTTCTACAAAATGTTACTGTTATTACAGTTTCTTTATAATTAATTGCCAACTGTACTAGCAGTTTCTGAGTGAAAACTGTTTCCACATCCATTTTTCAGTGCAGGTAAAAGAAAGTAATTTGAGCTAAATCTGATATTGAATAAAATAATAATATTCCTTCTAAATTTGAAGCCCGTTTCCACCACAGAATAAAAATCAAAAGTATAATTTTGATTTTTTTTTTCCTCACAATTGCATGTTTATATCACACAAACCTGAGGGAAAAAAGTTGCAATTACCTTTTTTATTTTTTATTAATTGAAAGAAATAAGCTTCCAACAAATAGCAAAAGTAATTGCAACTTGTCACACTATGGGGGTATGGGGTCGGATTAAGGGATCTAAAATATAGTCATGCAGAATAAGGCATTAATATGTGCTTCATAAGGACTAATAAACAGCCAATATACTAGCAATGGTCTAACATGTTATTAACATGTTGCTAGCATGATTAACATGTTGTTAGCATGTTTCTAGCATGATTAGCATGTTGCTAGCATGTTTTATCATTTTGCTAATATGTTTCTAGCATGATTAGCATATATATTTTGCATGTTTCTAGCATGTTGTTAGCATGCTGCTAGCCTGTTTAACATTTTGCTAGCATGTTTAACATTTTGCTAGCATGTTTGTAGCATGCTTTGCATGTTGCTATCACGTTTTGCATGATTAACATGTTGCTAGCATGTTTCTAGCATGATTAGCATGTTTCTAGCATGATTAGCAGGTTGGCATGTTTTAGCATGATTCGCATGTTACTAGCATGTTTCTAACATAATTAGCATGTTGCTAGCATGTTTTAGTATGATTAGCATGTTGTTAGCATGATTAGCACTTTTCTAACATGTTTTAGTATGATTCTAGCATGATTTAGCATGCTATGATAGTCAGACAGCTTAAACACTACATAAGTCTTATTGGGCAAAAGTTTCAACCCCCTCAGTGGAAGTATATGGGACCTTTCGTAGTTTTTTTTCATCCTTTTAACGAAAATCGTAATCAGTTAGAAAGATATAGCAACCTGACTCAGACCAGTCTAAAGGTCTGACCTGAGTTTGGTGGTTGTAGTTTGAAAGCTCTAGGAGGTTAATCAGTAGATCAGTAAAATGACTTTCTCAAGCCAACTTAAATATGCTGCGCTGATAACAACTTCATGCCACTGAATTCCAGAAACAGTGTGGCATGTGTTTGATGGGCTGGAGGAATACAGATGCAACGGAGAAGTGTGCGAGAGGGAGGAGCAGCACAGATATAGTGCGAGTCTGTCCTACCTGTCTGTAACTGAAGCCCTGCAGAAGCAGGAAGTAAGGGAAGTCCAGAGGCGGGTGAATGGAATACTGTGTGGCGCTGTCATCGCTGCTCTCCGTCTCCTCCCGTTCATTAGCAGGACACTGTGTTGCTTTGTCGGCCTCGGCCTCGGCCTCTGGATCCTCCTCCTGCGTTCGCTCCGTACAGGTGCTTTGAGCTTCAGCTGTCAGATCCGTGTCACTGAGACTCTTAAACAGATTGTGTCTGCCGTCCACGGCGTCGTCACTCACGCATACATCCAGCGGCACGGATTTCCCTCTGCAGCGCGTCTTCTGCAGCTTACGTGCCTGTGCGTTTATACCTGGAGAAGGTGTTAAAGGAATAGTTCACCCAACAATTTACTCACCCTCAGGCCATCTAACATGTAGGTGAGTTTGCTTCTTCATCAGATTTGGAGAAATGTAGCAT